AGAGAGGGAGGTCTGGGCATCTTTGCTTAGACTGCTGCCCCCGCGACCCGGTTCCAGATAAGCGGAGGAAAATGGATAGATGGGTGGATATTACATCACTTTTTACATTAATCACATCTGCATCAGTTTTATCCAGTGAAACTGCACTGTCATGTACCTGCTGTATATAATGCATAATGTTTCCCCATGAGCAGACCCTTGTGGTTGTGTTGCCACCTAGTGGCTACAAGTGGACACAGCAGCCGCCTTATGCTCCACTAAAGATTTAAACAAGCCAAGGTCACTTATACAAATCAATCACATCACAAAGGTCAGGCAATTATATTTATGTAGCACTTGTATTTACAAGATAACATTAGAATACACACAGCAATAAGTAGCAGGTATCGAATAATATAAGTATAATTCAAGAAAATGCAGCAATAACAAAAATCTCCACCTACCTTCCAAAGACAGTGAAAACCTTGGTATCATGGAAGCAGCAATAAACCACTGGGATCCATCCTCTGGGGATCACAAATGTATGCACAAATCTTCAAGGCAGTACATCCAATATGGGAGGACAGTCTCAGTGTAGGAGTTGATATAATTTGTGTTGCTCTCCTCGGCTGACTTTTTATTATATCATATTTGTATTATCTGCATTTTAATAGTTTGACTAATTGGTTAACTGTTGGTTAGTATTATCCAGAGAGAGAAAGAGAACAGAAGCTCTAGGAGAGGGAAAGATGAGCACACCACGGATGTGATAAATGGGAGAAAAAGTTCAAGTGTGAAAAAGGTCAAGTGCAACAGAAAGAGGTCAGCTCTGCAGAGAGGGGAGCGGAGCAGAGACGAGAGGATCAAAGACATGAATAGATTTAATGAGTGGAAGAGAAAAACTGTAGGAAATGTAGTACATGTGAATGTATAGGCCCATTGGAGAAAATCAAAGAGAAATGAGGAATGTTGTATATTAAAACAGCAAAATCAAACTCAAGAACAATATTCCAGTAAATACTGGCACTGGTCCTTAATGGCAGCTGCAGCGTATAAATAGTGACAGCGGATGAGCTGCTCCATCTCTTCCAGCGGCTTTTACGACAACTGCTAGCATTTTTCACACATTTAAAATTGTTATATGACACATGCATGATAGGAAGCCCCTTTCGCTTTGTTGTGAAGTCTTTATTATTAGGCCTGCTGATAGTGTGACTCAGCTACTCAATATGCTAAATGATACCTATCAATCAGGTTTCAGTGTCACTATCCAAACCAGCCTCGACACCTGCAAAGTGACCGCCAAACAATTTAGTCCATTTGGTCACAGTTAATGTGGGTCATATACACAAATGGCATAAGGTGTCCAAACACTGAAACAAATCACACAGACTCCAGCCATCACATACAGATCACATACCTAATATCATTATATTAATAACAATATAGATGTAACATTAAAATACTATATGCAATATATCAAGTATTTTAGAGCACTTTATATTTTGATACCTGGTTACATTTTGTAGCTGTTAAAACTTATTAAAATGAAGTATGTGTCTGTAAGCGCATATTTGCTCAGCTCTGACTAAACTCCAGGGTCTGATGTGTGTGGGTGAGAACAGGCGCATACGAGGCCATGTGCATGTATATGTGCATTTGTCATCACTTCCAAGAATACTTCAACAACTGTTAAGAGTGACACTGCAGTGGGTGTGTGTCTGTGTCCTTTAATGGGTGTTTACGAGTATTTTAATGTGGAGAATGTTTTTAATCGCGGTAGACGTGTGTGAGGATGAATTGTGTGTGAACAAGAGTAACGAGGGGGGAGAGAGAATGAGAGTAGAGCACCAGAGCCTGGTGCCAGTCAGAGGGGAAAACACCAAAGCCTGGTATTTTTCAAGGAGCTTCTCACTGAGACCAGAGCTTGAGCTGCCGATTTGGTCTCCTTTTAGAGGACAGAGAGTAAAGGACAGAGATGCTGAGAGGATCCTTTTAGCCTTGATCACGGTTTTGTCACAGACTCTTGTGTTGTGATGGGGACTGTCAGTGAGCTGTGCGCCTCTAGTTTCCAGGCATTTCTCTGTCCTATGGTGCGACCAGGGGGACCTGCTGCAGCTTCAGGTGAGTGCTTTCTCTTGTTTTAATATTAAATGAAATATTAGTGGGCTTATGTGTAATTCCTCTGTACTTTAAGTAAACACGTGTTCATTTTGAGATTGTTTTATTGTTTGTTTTATTGTCTGATTTTAACCATTTGCAGTCCATTTATCAGCGAATGAAATTAATGTTTTATTCACTACAACAACAAAACTTTATATATATCATGTAGAGACGAGCTGAGAAAAATAGGTGAAAGTGTCATTGTGTCGCAGTCACAGAGTGTCTCATTTATGTCTGTACAAAAGTGGAATCATTAATATTTACATTTACAGGCATGCACAGACTTTCATTAAAAAAACCACAAACAAGTTGGGATAAAATAATTTTCCATGTACATGCTGTAAGTTTGTAAAAAAGTGAAACAATATTTTTACAGCATTGAGCGTTATAACAAAAATCTTAGAGGTTTTTTTGATGAAAGGTTTGTGAATTTTATAGGCACTTCTCTAAAGATATGTCCTGTATTTTGGGTTCCTGGCAGTTTTACTCTTTGTTAAATGGGCCAAATGAGAAGTCAGACCTATAGCTGAGCTTGTGGTGAAAACAATACACGTGGTCAAGCTAAAAGGTGCCAAATAAAGACAACACAAACCAAACATGAACAAAAATCAGCCCCCACTCTAGAGGGTAAAAAGTGCTTCATGAAATCAATTATCAGCATTGTTATTACTACAGATCTTTAATGGTTTATGTTGTTTTTGTGTGACTCTTGTGGCCTATGAGTGAAGACAAACACAGTGAGACATGCAGAGAAATAGACTGGTGCAAACTGCTATCAGTGTTCAGTTGCCTTGGTGACTTGTAGTTATCAAGACACAAAGTGCTCTGTAGTGTGTGTGTGTGTGCCACGCTGTGTTTCTGACATTTCTGTATTCGTTTACACACATGAGTCAGGAAAACTGTGTGTGTTTGTGTGAGATGGTGGGCTTGATTTGAGAACATGACGCACACTCATCGTCCCCTAGTCCAGGATCCTCCTCTCCAGTGGGTGCTGGAGTGATATAAGCTCCATCGCTGCCCACTGTTCTCCCTCTGTGCAGGTGCTGTCATCAGTGTGCTCATTCAGAAGCCATTCGCACACAGTGAAAGCAGCAGGTTATTTCCTTTCGACTTACAGGTTTTATTACCTGTCTTTTTATAGCTGGATTTCCTCTTCCTTTCCTTGTCATTTCCTCTGTGTTTTCGTCATCATCAGTTTTATGCCTTAAGCTTCAAGATCTTTGCAGCAATGATGTTTTCACAGATAAACTCTGGAAACGAATTTACACCAGAGATTTTTACATTTATCATTTATCTGATGAAGGTATGAAAGAGCTGGTTTATTCTCATTTTGCTTTTCTTGTTCCAGTTTCGTGTCCCACAGCCTTCACTGCAATACAGTGAATAAAATTTTATATTTAGTGCTCACAACATGAAAATTATATTTTAAACACGGTGTAGTTACATACAGTTGGGTTATCAATTAAAGGAGAAACTATCATATGGGAAGCTATTTTTGTCCAAATAGAACACCCCTCACTAAATAGGGGAGGTGGGTCATTCATCTACAACTCTGTTTTGAGATCTCTGCCCAAACAGAATAAATCAAATCAAATCAAATCAAGTCAAACATGCCCACCAGGACAACAGGCATCGGTCCACAGGGGAGCATTCAAAGGCGGGTAACAATGCTCACAATACTGGGCTATAATGACTCAGCTTCAGTGCTCCTCCTCAAAGAGAGAATCCCTCACTGTGTCCAATGCACATCTTCATTAAGCCGTTCAGTAACCTACAGCTGCAACCGTTAGTCAAGTCACTAACAGAAAATTAACCAGCAAAAATCACCAACATGTTCGCGTTCTACCTTCTTTAATGTGAGGAGCAGGTGCTTTTCTTTATCAGGCTTGAAAATAAACTGAATATTTTGGACAAAACAAGACATTTGAAGATGCCACCTTTGACCCTAGAGAGTCATAATGGACATTTCTCCCAGTGTTTGACATTTTATGAATAATAAGATCAATCAGATAATCAAGAAAATCATCAGCAGATTAATAAGTGACTCCAACATTTTTCTTCTATTACCACCAATTTATTCAGGATCTTCCTCTAATTTTGTCACCCTTCTTTATCTTTTCAGAAATAAATAAATAAAATAAAGTACAATTAAATTAAAATCCTAGTTGTGTCCATTTTTCATTTGAACCACTTTCTACCAATTAAATTGTCTCCATGAAATCCATTCACAGCTTTATATTATTTTGTATTTGTGAGCTCGTCCTCTAAAAGGTTGCAGCAGTTCTCCCTTACCCCTCCTCAACATGTCCTCCAAACTCTGAATAAAGCCCTGATTCAACCACACAGCTGCAAACCCTCCTTTCCTCTATCCTTCCTTAAATCCTCCTCTCTCCCTTCCTCGTGTCCATACACACAACACACCCATCTCTGATATCAAATCTGCTCCAACTTGAATAAATACAGTATGTCTGTCTTCTTCGTCAGGTGAGAGGTTACTGCTTTAAAGATATTTCTGCTTGTTAAGTCCTGTAACTCCTTCCTGTTTGAATAGAGAGAAACCCATGTTCCAGCATCTACATCAACATATATTTCTAGAAGTGGTTCATGGTGGATATTGAAGTAACCTGTGCTTTGGATCAGCGACTTGACAGACTGCATTTGAGTCCAGAATTTGCTGATATTCAGTGAAATTTCATGTTCCCTGTAACTGTGCCACTGGTTGTCACACAATATGTCCATTCTCATGCTTACGAGCTGACAAAGTTGGGGGCTGCCAAACATTTTGTAAAGGCCACAACTTTTTAATTTGTTTCTAATGTTTGCGTTCATGACATAAACAGAGCATTAACATTTAAGAAAGGCTCGTTTTTAATGTATATTTGCTGCGGAGGTTGTATTTACTTCTTTTCACTTCAAAGTTCAGCAAATAGTGACGTTTGCCGGGGATTGCGCAAACTCTTGAACTCAGTTGTTGGTGAATATACAGAAGTTTGTTAAATCTTCACTGATTGGCTATTGCTGGTAAATGGCTAAAACGTAAAGGCGTCTGTGAACTGCTGTCTGATTGGCTGTAGCCGGTAAAGCTACGCCCACACCATTCTGCCACAACACCGGCTGTCTCTACAGACAGTTGTCATTAAGCATCAGTCTAACGGTAACCCACTGACAAATTACAGATATATTTCGACCTTTAAAGATTCGTTAGAAGTGAAAAACTAGCCGCTGTTCTCTTATCTAGTGTTACCCAACATCACAGATATGGTTTTGAAGTCGGAAGACGGAGTTGGTAAGTTGTCTGATCCGCTTTAGCGTTAGTTACTCTGAACAGAGCTAACTTAGCTAAGTAGCAACTAACATAACTCTGTTAACGCAAGTAAGCAGGAAATTACATGCATATCGTCAGAATACTGTGGATTTAGTGTGTGTTTGGGGCATTTAAATTCATATCAACAAAGCAAAAGCAAAAATGTCTCATCTGACTGACTTGGTAATGCTCTTTGGGGGTCTTTATTAACTCAAACAAGGGAACTATTATAAATAATCTGGGTTGAGGCCAGACCTCATGGGGGTTAGCGCGTATTGCGCATCTCTTCTTAATTCATGCGTCTATAAATATAATCAGTGCACTCATCATTTATTGGTTGGAAATGGAGTTGCCTTCAAAAAACTTTGGCGGTTTGGGATTGTATGCACTTCTCTTATTTTTCCCAGCTTTTGTCACCACTGAGTTAGATATTGGCAGCGGTGGGAGGTTGTGGAGAGACTAAAAGGTCTGTACACAGAGAGAGGATTTACCACAAAAAACAAAACACAAGCTTTCAGCTTCCTCACAGCTGCACAGGTGTTTCCTCTAAGAATTTGAGCCTCTTTACAAGATGTGCTTTGCAGTGAGGTATTAGTCTGTCAGGTGGGAAACAAAATAAAACATGTACTTAAAATAATGGCCTACCAATAACATAAATGGTTTTAATGCAAGGTAACCCCCTTCAAGTAGGATATATTAGAAGTACAGGGAGCTTTTAATGGCTCTTTCACAGAGTGCTGCCTTGTTTTTAAGCTTAGTTGTGATACTTTTACTCCATTTTTGACAGCTGACATGTAATCGACTTGAACTGGGAGAGCAGCTCAGTCCATTTCATCACTCTGTCACATAAGAATGTTTGTCTTTTCTGTATCAAGGCACTGTTGGGTTTGTTTCTCCATCCTTATTAGACTTTTGAGCCCTAAGGCCAATCAGTCACCAGGGAGTTTACCATTACTGCAGGATCATATCATTCTTTTGTGCTTCCTGTGGCCTTGTGAACACTGAAACGGACAATCATTGGTGTCTAACTCTGTCTTACAAAATACAGATAATTCTTTAGTCATAACCAAACTACTTTGCCTTGGGTCCTGGATCAGCTGCCATCCTGTTGCTGTGTGTAGTCATTTCTATGAGCAAACATATGTTTAGAAGAGAAAGAAGAATGAAGACTGGTTTAATTTTGCCAGAACAGAGAGCTGTTGTTTAGTAGTTTATTTGTTGCACTTTGGTGTCCAGGAGAGATGAGTCAACGTCATGCACTCTACCCATTTCTTTATGCAAAACGGCACTTCCCGACACCGGTGTCCACGTGGGGGAGCTTGTGCATTGAGACAGGGAGGAGTCAAGATGGACAGAAGGTGGGAGGGGGAGAGAGAGATGAGAGTTCAAAGGTTTCCCCCCTCGCAGACACACTCCTTCATCTTCCTTTAGCTACAGGTATACTTGCCTCCTCTCCCGACTGCTGGAATGAGTGCTTGAGGATTAGAAAGGCAGGGAGGCTGGGCTAGAGTACTGGGATTTGGACTAGAGAGATCACACAGGACTGGGTTGCTGCTGTGCTGTTGGAAACACCAGACTGGACTGCAGGAAATGGGCTGTTTTGTAGTGGAATCGGTGGCTAAGTAAGTGTTGTGGTCTCTTGAGCTTGAAATATAAACACAACTGGAGACAGCATCAAACCTTGACTGCTAAAATCCAAAGAACAGTGTGTTTTCAGATATGCTGGGACCACTAGGACTGGCACATAAACTACTCAGCTCACAGCTTTCTCTGTATAAATCTCAGGATGAAAATGACACAATTGTGTAGGTGTCAAGTGCGTCATCATAACTTCTGCATTCAAACTATGTTACAGAAACTTCTGGGTAAATGCATGTGTGTCATCACATATTTCTCTGAAACTTCATGATTGAGTTGGAAACCCAGTCACAGTGAGTGTTTGGAAACTGCTGATTGATTAATGTGGTTTGGTTGCATCTTTAGAGGATGTGATGTGACGAGTACTGTAGCTTACAAACTAGAGCATGAACTTGAAGTCAGGATATGTTGGTTGTCTTGAGCAGCTGCCCCGTTACATGAACACAAACTAGGTGACCTGAAGAGTATGCAGAGCAGCAGGGGTGAAGAGCCTGAAGACACATTGTTATTTATGTCAGAAATGTGTGTCATGTTTGTTTGCATGGGAGAAAGATGATGAGTTTCATAAACCTTCTGTTGTTTCCCGTTAATAAAAAGCCGGAGAGAGGAAGTGAGTAGGATTGCCAGTTTCACTGCCTCTGTGCACAATGGTGTGTTATTCTTGTCCTGAGGTTTATAATAAGAGCTACTTAATCCTCTGTGTCGCTGGGCGAAGGTTATATGTGTGCCATGCCAGTGCATCACTGTCTGTGTCTCTGCAGTATGTAAATGATATTGGTATCCAAGGCTGCGGCACCTGTCACGCCATACTGGGCTTTTCTGAATTTGCTTTACACGTTAGAGGCGGACTACTGTAACAAGAGTACTGGAAGTTTTTCAGTTTGAATTTTGGCCCTTTTGTTTACTACTTTAATGAGGCTGACAAGCAGCAGCACAGCTTGTGCACTGTGGCTCATTGTAAAAACTGTACATTTTCTTACTTTTACCTCTGTTGAGAGCGATATGTATGAAACCACAGCAAAAGTTTTATTATGAGGCGCCCCATGGCAAGGCACTGCAGGTTTAAAAGTTATGATGTTTGAAACATGCACGCAGATCAATGCTGCGTTCCCTCTCTTATTACCAGAACTGAGTCTTTCTATTTCCTTTTTTCCCCTTCTGGTGCTTTCATAAGAAAAACCACAAGTCAGACACTGACAGATCTGCATTTCCTCCTTACCTTATCATTCCTCTGCAGAAATTGTGTGTATGTGTGGGGGCATAAGTTCTATCAGAGCACACACTTGGTCACATTCAGTTATGGGTGTGTTTTATGTGGAGGGTGGAAGGCAGCGTGGATGGGTGAGCTTCACTGATACAGTGAGATGTCAAGCCTCGTGCCCTTTCAAGCTGTTTCTAGTAAAAATGACAAAAAGGTTGCGGTTTCCAGCTTCTCAAATTTCTGTGGCAGATGTGAATATTGCATTTTATTGTTGTAAAATGCAGCTGTTAGAGAGAAGATATTCACTGTTATTTTCTCCTCACTGAGTGGTCGGTAGGTTTATTATGGCCAAAAGGCACCATGCTTTTGTGTGTGTGTGTGTGAGAGAGAGAGAGAGAGAGAGAGAGAGAGAGAGAGAGAGAGAGAGAGAGAGAGAGAGAGAGAGGGAGAGAGGG